CACTTTTTGCCGGCTTGGAATTCTCCTTCTTCTCATCCTTCTTCTTCTTCTCATCCTTCTTCTTCTTCTCATCCTTCTCCTTCTTCTCATCCTTCTTCTTCTTCTCATCCTTCTTCTTCTTCTCATCCTTCTCCTTCTTCTCATCCTTCTTCTTCTTCTCATCCTTCTTCTTCTTCTCATCCTTCTCCTTCTTCTCATCCTTCTTCTTCTTCTCATCCTTCACCTTCTTCTCATCCTTCTTCTTCTTCTCATCCTTCTTCTTCTTCTCATCCTTCTCCTTCTTCTCATCCTTCTTCTTCTTCTCATCCTTCTTCTTCTTCTCATCCTTCTTCTTCTTCTCATCCTTCTCCTTCTTCTCATCCTTCTTCTTCTTCTCATCCTTCTTCTTTTCATCCTTCTCCTTCTTCTCATCCTTCTTCTCATCCTTCTCCTTCTTCTCATCCTTCTTCTCATCCTTCTCCTTCTTCTCATCCTTCTCCTTCTTCTCATCCTTCTCCTTCTCCTTCTTCTCATCCTTCTCCTTCTTCTCATCCTTCTCCTTCTTCTCATCCTTCTCCTTCTTCTCATCCTTCTCCTTCTTCTCATCCTTCTCCTTCTCCTTCTTCTCATCCTTCTCCTTCTTCTCATCCTTCTCCTTCTTCTCATCCTTCTCCTTCTCCTTCTTCTCATCCTTCTCCTTCTCCTTCTTCTCATCCTTCTCCTTCTCCTTCCTCATCTGCAAGGGCATTTAAATTAAAGGTACAGTGTTCTGCACTAATTTAAAAGGCTCTCTGAAGCCTAGAAACCCTTTTTTATAAGTTAAATTCGTAGCGAATAAATTCGCATCGAATCGAATTTCTTCCTCAAATTCGGCGAATCAGCCGAATCGAATTTTTGAATAATTCGCTCATCTCTACCTATAATCATGAATAGACCATCCCATGCACTTTACCTAACTGTATCATTTGAATCCCCTTGTTCTATAACTGGGTATTTATGATGATCTTCCTATTCAAAAAACTAAGTTACTACTCTTTATGCATCTTACTATGCTGGAAAAGAAATTCTCCTTAAGTGGAACTTCCCTTGCCACCATCCTATAATGATTGGAGTTTAACAATTAGCTCTGCATTTCCTATGAATGAAAGTTGACACAGTAGAGGCTGCCCTGCCAAATATGACAAAATCTGGTCTGCCTTGATAGATTCTGCTTGCCATCCCTCTTCTCCCCCCTTCTTCCCTGCTCTGTACTTTCCTCCTCAAGGGTTTGACATTTCCGTTATATTGCAAATGAAAAAAAGTTCAATAAAGCTTTCTTGCTAAAGCTCTGTTAAAAAAAATTATATCTATTAATATGCACCTGTCCATTTGTGAGGGTTCTGGGTTGTATTTTTTATATAGTTGCCATTTCCAGGCTGTATTGTGTCAAGCTGTCAGGAATGGACTTGCCAGTAATGGTGGGACTCACCTGCCTTGTGGGCTGCAGTACCAGGGCTGGCCAGCGGGTGCTCCCAGCAATCAGAGACTTAACCCTGCAGCCAGCCAAACACCTGAAGTTGATCATGCAGGTGTATTTAAGGGATGGCAAGACCTGCAGTCTCTGCCTTGGTGTGTGTTTTTCCTGGGCCCTGTATCTTGTTCCTGCATTCCTGTTCCTGTCTCTGTCTGATTCGTTGCTGACCCTGCCTGACCCGGACCTCTGCTGGCTTCTCCTGTTTTATCCCTGGCTTGTGACCTCGACCATTCTCTGCCTGACCCCCTGTACCTACCTGCCCGATTGTTATTGACCCGGCCTGCCTGACGACGCTTGCATTGTATGTACTGTTATCTGTGGGTGGTTTGGTTTGGTTTGTTTGCACTGTGTTATGTTTTAGTATTGCGCTGCGTTTATGTTTGTATTGTTAGTGTTAATAAATTATATTGTTTATAACTTATCTGAAGCCTGCGTTTCCCTGCGTCAGTCACATACCTCTGGTCACACCCTGGAGCCCTGACATTACACCAAGGCCAATCCTGACCAGAAGTGGCTGCACAGGGAAGCCATCTTGGCTTGTTGCTGGGAAGGATGGATCTTGATGAGGTTGTGTATTTATCTCTTCTAGTGTTTGATGACAGAGAGTATGCTTATCAAACTCTGAAGGAGTATCCCAGGGATGAACTGCTAGAATGTATATGGATCGCTCATGTTCTAGTAGATCAGGGCACAGAATTCTCTGAGGTGCAGCCATTGATTCAGGTTTGTGCTGAGTTGGTTTCATCTGGTACCCCCGAATGCAGGGATGAATTTTTGCCCCCATTTAGTGCCGACCAGGTAGAGTCCCTGGTATGGTTATTAGAGGATGATATGGATTACTTTCTGGAGCGTTATTCTGCATGTTCACCACAGATACTAAGAGATTGTATAAACGCAGTTCAGTCTTTGGTCAGACAGGCTTTGTGTAAGCTGAGCTTTGTTCAACCCATACTGCAGACATGGTCAGACTTGTTGCACCCAGCCTCAGTCAGCTTACAACATCATTCCTCCACTCAAGGCACTCTTCCTGCATCCCTGACAGCACCCCCAGTGACTGCCCAGTATACTCTAACTACCACATACCAGTCCTCTGCTCCCACTCGCTGCACCTATCCTTTCTTTAACCCTGTAAAGAAGTCCTCTGTAGCAACTGCTCCCTCCTCTGTTCCATCTTCCAGCTCTTCTCTGTCCTCAGCTGCTCCATTCGTTTGCAGACTTGCGTTTACTTGCAGTGCCCCAGTAGTTAAAACCAGAAAAAAGCGGAAATTCTTTCCAACCAGTACCATCCTGCCAGTATCCAAACCGGTGAGCCTGCCGTCTGAGAACCTGCCTTCCGTGGTTCAGCCTGGTGCCTCGGCACCCGCACTTCAGCCTGATGTCTGTACCCAGCCTGATGTCTGTACCCAGCCTGATGAACTGATCCAGCCTGATGATCCTATCACGCCTGATGACCCAGTGCCCGCTGTCGAGCCAGACGATCCGGTACCTGATGACCCGGTGCCCACTGTCATGCCTGGTGACCCGATGCCCGCTGTCGAGCCAGACGATCCAATGCCTGATGACCCGGTGCCCGCGGTCATACCTGGTGACCCGATGCCCGCTGTCGAGCCAGGCGATCCAATGCCTGATGACCCAGTGCCCGCTGTCATGCCTGGTGACCCGATGCCCGCTGTCGAGCCAGACGATCCAGCGCCAGATGACCCGGTGCCCGCTGTCGATCCAGACGATCCGGTACCTGATGACCCAGTGCCTGCTGTCATGCCTGGTGACCCGATGCCCGCTGTCGAGCCAGACGATCCAGCGCCAGATGACCCGGTGCCCGCTGTCGATCCAGACGATCCGGTACCTGATAACCCAGTGCCTGCTGTCATGCCTGGTGACCCGATGCCCGCTGTTGAGCCAGACGATCCAGCGCCAGATGACCCGGTGTCCGCTGTCGATCCAGACGATCCGGTACCTGATGACCCAGTGCCTGCTGTCATGCCTGGTGACCCGATGCCCGCTGTTGAGCCAGACGATCCAGCGCCAGATGACCCGGTGCCCGCTGTCGTGCCAATTGACTCAGAGTCCACTGTTGTGCCTGCTGACTCGGTGCCCACTGCCTTGCCAGATGACGCGGTGCCCGCTGTCGAGCCAAACGACCTGATGCCTGGTGACCCGATGCCCGCTGTCGAGCCAGACGATCCAGCGCCAGATGACCCGGTGCCTGCTGTCGAGCCAGGCAATCCGGTACCTGATGACCCGGTGTCCGCTGTCGTGCCAATTGACTCAGAGCCCACTGTCGTGCCTGGTGACTCGGTGCCCACTGCCTTGCCAGATGACGCGGTGCCCGCTGTCGAGCCAAATGACCTGATGCCTGGTGACCCGATGCCCGCTGTCCAGCCAGACGATCCAATGTCTGACCCAGTGCCCGCGGTCATGCCAATTGACTCGGAGCCCACTGTCGTGCCTGGTGACTCGGTGCCCACTGCCTTGCCAGATGACGCGGTGCCCGCTGTCGAGCCAAATGACCTGATGCCTGGTGACCCGATGCCCGCTGTCCAGCCAGACGATCCAATGTCTGACCCAGTGCCCGCGGTCATGCCAATTGACTCGGAGCCCACTGTCGTGCCTGGTGACTCGGTGCCCACTGCCATGCCAGATGATGCGGTTCCCACTGGCGAGCCAAATGACCTGATGCCTGGTGACTCGATGCCCGTTGTCGTGCCTGATGACTTGGTGCCCGCCGCTCCGCCTGGGGGCCCGATGCCTGTCGCCCCTCCTGGGGGCCCGGCACCCACCGCTCCGCCTGGGGGCCCGATGCCTGTCTCCCCCCCCTTTGGGGGCCCGGCGCCCCGCCTGGGGGCCCGATGCCCATCGCCCCTCCTGGGGGCCCGATGCCCGTCGCCCCTCCTGGGGGCCTGATGCCCGTCGCCCCTCCTGGGGGCCCGGCGCCCGCAGCTCCGCCTGGGGGCCCGGTGCCCGTCGCCCCGCCTGGGGGCCCGGCGCCCGTCGCCCCGTCTGGGGGCCCGGCGCCCGTCGCCCCGCCTGGGGGGCCCGACGCCCGTCGCCCCGCCTGGGGGCCCGACGCCCGTCGCCCCCGCCTGGGGGCCCGACGCCCGTCGCCCCGCCTGGGGGCCCGGTGCCCGTCGCCCCGCCTGGGGGCCCGGTGCCCGCTGCTCTGCCTGGGGGCCCATCGCCCCGCCTGGGGGCCCGATGCCCATCGCCCCGCCTGGGAGCCCGGTGCCCGCTGCCCCGCCTGGGAGCCCGGTGCCCGCTGCTCCGCCTGGGGGCCCGGTGCCCGCTGCTCCGCCTGGGGGCCCGGTGCCCTGCTGCTCCGCCTGGGGGCCCAATGCCCATTGCCCCGCCTGGGGTCCCGGTGCCTGTCGCCCCGCCTGGGGTCCCAGTGCCTGTCGCCCCGCCTGGGGCCCCAGTGCCTGTCGCCCCTCCAGGGGGCCCGGTGCCCGCCGCCCCGCCTGGGGGCCCGATGCCTGTCGCTCCGCCTGGTGGCCCGGTGCCTGCTGCTCCGCCTGGTGATCCGGTGTCCAGCTCGATGTGCCTCTGCCCGGAGTCAAGCTCGATGTGCCTCTGCCCGGAGTCCAGCTCGATGTGCCTCTGCCCGGAGTCCTGCCCGGAGTCCAGCTCGATGTGCCTCTGCCCGGAGTCCTGCCCGATGTGCCGCTGCCCGGAGTCCTGCCCGATGTGCCGCTGCCCGGAGTCCTGCCCGATGTGCTGCTGCCCGGTGTGCCGCTGCCCGAAGTCCTGCCCGGTGTGCCGCTGCCCGGAGTCCTGCCCGATGTGCCGCTGCCCGGAGTCCAGCCCGATGTGCCGCTGCCCGGAGTCCTGCCCAATGTGCCAGTCTTTGATATCTCGCCAGTTACCAGACCCGGGCGGTGGAACATTTTGCCCAGCTAGGACTGTTTGGAGCGTCCTGAGGCCGCTCCTTGAGGGGGGGTACTGTCAGGAATGGACTTGCCAGTAATGGTGGGACTCACCTGCCTTGTGGGCTGCAGTACCAGGGCTGAACAGCGGGTGCTCCCAGCAATCAGAGACTCAACCCTGCAGCCAGCCAAACACCACCTAAAGTTGATCATGCAGGTGTATTTAAGGGATGGCCAGACCTGCAGTCTCTGCCTTGGGTGTGTGTTTTTCCTGGGCCCTGTATCTTGTTCCTGCATTCCTGTTCCTGTCTCTGTCTGATTCGTTGCTGACCCTGCCTGATCCGGACCTCTGCTGACTTCTCCTGTTTTATCCCTGGCTTGTGACCCCGACCATTCTCTGCCTGACCCCTTGTACCTACCTGCCCGATTGTTATTGACCCGGCCTGCCTGACGACGCTTGCATTGTATGTACTGTTATCTGTGGGTGGTTTGGTTTGGTTCGTTTGCACTGTGTTATGTTTTAGTATTGCACTGCGTTTATGTTTGTACTGTTAGTCTTTAATAAATTATATTGTTTATAACTTATTTGAAGCCTGCATTTCCCTGCGTCAGTCACACTGTACCTCTGGTCACACCCTGGAGCCCTGACACAAGCAGTATTAAAGAATTTGGAAAATAAGGAGCTACATTCATATTAAATAAAAATCTAAAAGTGTTGTTTTTTTTTTCATTTTATCTGAATTGTAGGTCAAGGTTTTGGGATGACCATGGAAATGACAGTGAACCATTGTTATAGTCTTTATAGACCTGTACTTTTTTATGCAAATGAACGAAAAAGTAAATACAGTTGTCTTGGTGATGGCTATGTCCTGTGCTATTTTTGTTACATCTGTAAGTTGCTTTCTCAAAGTTCTTCTCTTTCATCATTCATGTTTTTGCAGAGTATGATATCTACTTAAAATGTAAACACATAGCATGTTCTTCAGGTCTTTACAAAAGTGTTTCTGTGGTTTATTTAAGTTATTTGTAGGTAACAATACAGGGATTCCTGTGACTGATGAATTTCCAATTTACAGCCTGTCACATACCTAGTGGAGATCGAGCTGGAGAAAGGTCTTCTTTTGCACCTCTTGTCCAACACCCCTGGTAGTGACAGGGAGTGTGGGGAAACAGAGTGGCATAAGAGTCGGTGTAGCAGGCAGTGCCAGCTGGGGTTTGCCAGAAGCAGATGATCATAGAAGCAGGAACCAGGGATATGGTGAAACTTGCTTGGCAGACAGGAGTGCAGCCAGAACACAACCCACAATGTCATCAACAGCCGGGCAGTGAGGTACAGGAACATCAGGCATATAGGAAGTCAGGATATGAGCTGGGATCAGTATACAGCTGGGCAGCAAGGTACAGGAACACAAGACAGGAGCAGAGTCAGAATACAAGCCAAAGACACAGTAGGTAGGCAAAAATCCAATGAGAGGTCAGAGGAAAGCCGAGTCATGCACAGGTAACCAGGTATAGCAGGTCAAGGCTCAGTTAAAGCAGGATCTAGCTGAAGACCACTCAGCAATCCATCCATGTTAGAGTGCAGCCTAAAATAGACCATTTGATGCCAGTGCTCATACATGTGTTCATGCACATGTGTATGCACAGTTGTTTTCTGGACACGCTAACACTTGTGTGACAATGACTATTTTGTATTGAGCTTTTTCTCAGAATTATGAACATGCACATAAGTATGAGCATATGCCAGCCTTCTTCCAACATGTACATAGGTTTTCTTACATTGCCCCCTCCCAGTGAGCAACCTCCAGATGCCCATCTGAAAACATCTTTTCAGGATGGACCTGAAAGAATGCCTTTATCAGGCTTCTTTTTTTATAATTTAAATATTTATTAATTTTTCATTTTAATTACATTTCATCATCACAATATAAATATATATATATAAAAATATATTCTATAATATTATATTATCCAACATTTCTACTTTATATACTCTATGCTACATTTCCCTCCCACCTCTGCCCCCCACCACCCCATATCCCCTCTGCCTATTCTTTCTTTTCTCTGCGTCTTCTTATATCAGCAAGTGAAATTTTTCTGTTGTTTTCTTTATTCTTTCCTATACTTCATATATAATCTAGCTTTTTCCCAGTTCTCCCATTTCCCATAGTAAACCTCCATCTTATCTTCTTGGGGTATGACACAACCTTTCCATCTTTTTGATCTGCTCAACTCTTTCAATCCAGTCCTCTTCCTTTGGTGCCTCTATTCGCCGCCAGAACTTGGGTATCAGGGCTTTTGCAGCATTTATATAGTACCATATCCCTGATTTTTTATATTTATTTATTGTTATATCCGTGCTATGCAAAATACATACTTCTGGGTCTAGATCTATGTCTATTTCTGTCAATTTTCTTATTAAGTGGATTATTGTTTTCCAGAATATCTGGATTTTTGGGCATCCCCACCATATATGGTATATTGTGCCTATTTCTCCACATCCCCTCCAACACAACGGTGAACTCTCTCCACACATCTTATTTTCTACTTTGGTGAAATGTGCCATCTTGTCAAACACTTATAGTTCATCTCTACTTCTCTCATAGAGACGTTCTCGTGAGTTAATCTATACATTCTCCTCTGCTTTTCCTCATCTATCACAATTCCCATATCCATTTCCCATTTTGTTGTATATGTTTGGCTTTGTGTTTGTGTCTAATTCAGTGAGTATTTTA